GGAATGTTTACACATCCAAGTTATTCTTAAGCTCTTTCTTTTTAATGCCTGCATGATTTTCCTTAGAGTGTATTTAAGGTGTATAGTATCAATATTCTAATATATGCTTATTTAGCTGTGATGGTTTGAAAGAAAATGCCCCCCCAAGATAGTGGCACTATTAGGAGGTATGGCTTTGTTGAGAAGTAGGTATGGCCTTGTTGAAGGAAGTATGTCACTGTCGAAACAGGCTTTGAAGTCTCTTTTGCTCAAGATACCACCTAGTTTTTCAGGTCATTTTCTTTTTCTTTTTTTTTCTTTTTTTTTTTTTTTTTTTTTTTTTTTTTTTTTTTTTTTTATGTTTTTTTTTTTTTTTTTTTTTTTTTTTTTTTTTTTTTTTTTTTTTTTTTTTTTTTTTTTTTTTTTTGGTTTTTCGAGACAGGGTTTCTCTGTGGCTTTGGAGCCTGTCCTGGAACTAGCTCTGTAGACCAGGCTGGTCTCAAACTCACAGAGATCCGCCTGCCTTTGCCTCCTGAGTGCTGGGATTAAAGGCGTGCACCACCATCGCCCGGCCTTCAGGTCATTTTCTATTGCCTTCTGATCAAGGTATAGCCAGCACCATGTCTGTCTGCATGCCACCATGCTCCCTGCCATGATGACAATGAACTGAGCCTCAGAAACTGTAAGAGAACCACCACGTTAAATGATTTCCTTCCTAAGAGTTGCCATGGTCATGGTGTCTCTTCACAGCAATAGAAACCTTAACTAACACAGAAGTTGGTACCAGGAGTGAGGTATTGCTGTGATAGGCCTGATCATGTTTTTGTTTGAAGTAATTTGGACTTTGGTACTTTGGGTTAATAAAGCAGTGCAATGCTTTAAGTACCGTATAATGGGCCATACTAGTAGGAGCATGGAAGACAGTGGTGTTAAGAATTATTTGAACTGTCAGGAGCTCACTCAAGGGGTTTCAAAGGAGAAGAATTTTAATATTTTGCCTAGAGATCCTTCTTGTGATATTTTGGCAAAGAAAGAGGCTGCCTATTGCTCTTGTCCAAAAACTCTACCCGAGGTTAAAGGGAAGAGTTTAGTATTAATTCAATTGGCAGAGTATGTCTCAAAACAGCCTAGTATAGACTGTCATGTGTTAAAGGTGTATAATGAAAAGGAGCAAACTGATCCACAGTAAATTACAAAATGTTAATTTGAGGAGAAAAGGGCACTAGGAAGTAGAATAGAGCTAAATCCTCTGGTCAATGAGATAGATGGATTAAGAAATGGAATAAAGGGAGTGACCTGAGGGTAAAATCTCATCCAGCTATGTTTCCATCTTGTGAAAAGAAACTAAAGAAAACTTGGAGTCAGGTGTAGTGGTGCACACCTTTAATCCCAGCACTCTGAAGGCAGAGGTTGTCAGATATCTGAGTTTGAGGACAGCCTGGTCTAGAGATCCAGTTTCAGTACGGCCTAGCTTAGGCAATGAAGAACAGAAAGCTAGTGAAAATATAATTGAAAAGGTTCCAGCCCCAGGAAGCTGCATAATTTGGCAGCTTTGGCCGCATGGTTTTAGAGTTAAGTGTAGAAGAAATGGGGTATGGAATTTGCCTCTGTGCCTATAGAAAACTACTGAAGTCAGACATGTGTCAGGAGTGTCCCCAAATAGAGCCCTAGAGATGCCATTGCATGAAGCCTGGATTGCCTTGAAGACTCCAAGATGTTGGAGATGTTAGAGCTGCAGAATATCTGCCAAAAAAAAAAAAAAAAAAACTGCTAACAGGGAGCGGAGCCAGTCCTGGAGAAAGAAGTGTGCTGCAGTCAACAAGCTGAGAAGACATGGAGATCTGGAGAGCATTTTACTATCAGATATAAAAATACAGAGTCTTGATTTTAGCCTGCTGGTTTTTTGATTTTTTGGTCTTGCTTTAGTTCAGTATTTCCTTACTATGCTATCTTTCCCACAATAAGATATAGATATAGATATAGATATAGATATAGATATAGATATAGATATAGATATAGATATAGATATAGATATAGATATATAATGGCATATATCCATATAATGGCATATATGTATATATATAAATATATATATATATACCCTGTGCCATTATGTTAGAAGTATGTGATCTGCTTTTTTATTTTAATTTTAATAGATTTGCCATGAGTTTCAGAAGAGACTTTGGACTTTGAAACGAGTTTAAGACTGTTATAGACTATGGGGACTTTTGAAGTTGTACTGAATGCAATTTTGCTTTTTAATAAGCCTACAGCCTTTAGGGGCCAATGAGTGGAATTTGATAAAAAATGGCCCCCAAAGGGAGTGGCACTATTAGGAGGTGTGACTTTGTTGGAGTAGGTATGGCCTTGTTGGTAAGTGTGTCACTGTGGGGACAGGATTTGAGGTCTCTTGCTCAGATACCACCCAGTGCTTCAGTACATTTCCTGTTGCCTCTGATCAAGATGTAACCAGCACCATGTCTGTGTCCATGCACCCATTCCCCCCCCCCCATACTGAGTTTCAGAGGAAACTGTAAGCAAGCCTTCTCAATTAAATGCTTTCCTTTTAGAGTTGGTGTGGTCATGGTGTCTCTTTATAGCAATAGAAACCTTAACTAAGACAACACTGAAATGATCACTCCAACCAGAAAAAATAATAAGCCTATTGCCTTATAGTATTAACTTGTGTATAGAAAAAAAAAACTAAAATTACCATTTTTGGAATATCTCTATTGTGTAATACAAAATTATTGTAGTAGATCTTGCCTAAGAGTCCCTCACCTCCCCACCCCTCCCTATAACATGTATATTGTATAAAATGTTAACTTTGAGATTTTATTATATAGATACCCTGATTAAACAGGTATATGGGTGCTATTTTCAATATTTCAATGGCATATTATTGAAATATTAGGTAAAATATAAATGTCCATCAATGATTGAAGAGAAAAATAAAATGTACTTCTTATCTAAAAGGGTCACTATTTTATAAGGAACTACATACATACACTAACTACAAATGCACACACACACACACATATACACAGACACATACATACGCACACACTAAATATACACTAAAACAGTCCCACACTTAATACAAGCACACATAACTAATACAAATACACTGCATATAAACATATCATATAAAAACACATGGTATACACACACACACACACACTAACACAGGTGTATCATCAGAAGAACCAAGAGGTCAAAACCAGTTTCTACTACATAATGAAATCTTCTTTCAATAATAAAAATTGTTAGAGACCTCAAAACAATGTTGTAAAAAAAGGTATAAAATGATATGGTAACTATAGAATTTAATATATTTGTATTTAGTTTATATAAATTTAAAGTACATAAATCTCATGTGTTATTCATTCTTAACACATTTATATAAAGATATAAAATTGACTTGTAACAAAAAAGTAAACCTAGACATAGGCGACAACTTCAACTTCACCTGCAGTCTTCCTTATAAACATACACATTTAAGTGACATGACAAAATAGGAACAAGTATCGATTTTCATTGGTGAATATATTTTATGAATTTCAATTTTTAACTTGCAAAATTAAATATTTCTACTTCTCCAAATAAAAAGAATACCAACGACCTACTTAGTAAGACCAGTATGCTAAATCATTTATGAAGGGATTCTAGAACTATTCTGAGTTGGCAAGGATTGCAGGCCACACTCCAACCCTGTGGACAGCACCTAGGTTCTTCCCCATGAGGAATCCACATAGTCAGGAGACAGCCAGAGGCGGATCACCTACTGTGTGCACCCTACCCAGTCTCCTTACCCTGTACTTTACTTGTAGCGGAAGGTCCAGCGACTGTCACCAGGCAGGTGAAGTGCATGCGGATAGAGAACTCAGACTATGCCACTGTTATCACCAACTGCGAGGACAGTAGCTGCTGTGCCACCTTTGGGGATGGAACATCTATTATTGCGAAGCCACAGGGATCATACCAGGTAGGTCGAGTTGGGACATGAGGATTGACCCATGGAAGTGTCACATTGCTCACAGAATATGCTGGAACAATGGGAATTTCTGTAGTGACACCCACTGTTGCCTTTGTGTCTCACCTGATCTTAGAATGCACTTCTCACATTTCTGCTTTTGCATCGTTTCAATCCAGTCTAGGAATACATTGTCTGGCTTGTTGCAGGAAGTTAGTAGTGTTGAGTCAAGGTTAGGCTAAAAAGACCCCCCCCATGCTGCACACTGTGGGGCCAGAATCACTCCAATGACCTGATGGACACCTACCTGCCTCTCTCCATCTCCTGCCAGCTCTTGACTCCAGTCCACCCCTAGGACCTGAAGGGCAGTATGTTTGGTCCTGGGAAGACAGTTTACCCAGATGAAGCAAAGCTTTGTCCTTCAAAAGCAAAGAAAACTGCAACACGCCCCTCTCCATTCTCCCTGATCTTCCTATTAAACAGAACGTGCTGGTGTCAGCATACGGTGCCTTTAGTCTTTGAGAGATTTCCCCTCTTTTCTGCATGTTAGAGAAGGGACATGAGCTATCACATGCCATGTTACAAGGGGCTGAGAACTGAAAGCCAGAATGTGATGGACACACGGTCATCACTGTGACCGTAGCTGAACTGGTGTGTCCTTCCCATCTCCCTGGCCATTATGTTTCCAGTGTAGATGGCTATGGGGCAAAGCAAGCGCTGAAAGTGAGAGATGGAAGAAAATGTAAGGCAGATGTTCATTAGCAATGCCTCCCAAGGCATACACTTCATTTTAAAACCAGACTTGACACACTTCATTCTTCTGGTATAAAAAGCCTCTCTGGTAGTTACAGCTAAAGTCTGTATCCTTTGAATGGACACCAAAGTGTGGGCTTTCACACGATGGCTAGTGAGTTCCTGATAAAGACTTTGGTGGACTCAATCTCTTTTTCAGAGGTCAGGAGTCAGGTAGTTGTGCCTCTTGAAGATGACACCAAAGGTTGCCTTGGCTAAAGGAAAGTGTTGGTAGCCTGAATTCCCTTCCACCCAGAACTGTCAGACTCCTAGGAACAGAGAATCTCCTCTTGCAGGTCTGCCATGCATGAAGAGGGCCTTCCCCTCCTTCCATGAAAAACCATACCAAGCACACACTCGGCTGTGTGATCCTGTAGAGCTGAGGGAGGACAGATTTTTTTTTAATTGAGTTTTTTTTTTGAGAATTGTAACCATAAGGACTATGTTTACATCATTTCTACCCTTCCTTTTCTGCCTTCCAACACCTCCTATTCCCCAATCTCAAATTCATGACCTCTTCTTTCATTATTATTGTTACACCAATACACACATGTGTGTATATAAATATATACCACTGAATCTGTTTCTTGTTGTTTATATGAATATGAATTTAGAGCTAATCACATGAGTTTGGATAACCCATCAGGATTATCCCTGAAGAAGACTCAATCTCCCTCTCTCAGCAGTTGTTAATTACCTGAAGGTCATCATCTAGAGGTGGGGCCTTCGGAGATGTCCCCTATCCACATTGGTGTGTCAACTGGTGCTGTCATAGTGCTGGCGAATGGGATGAGCTGCATGCCACAAACTGCTGCATCTTGAAACCCTTATTCCAAGTGAAAGAAGCTACATAGTGACGCTTCTACTTGTATGAAAAGTTTAGAATAGGAAAATCCATACAGGTGATGGGTTAGCAGCCACTGAAGATTGGGGACAGAGATGATACACTGACTGGTAATGATGCTGTGGTTTCCATTTATATGGAAAAACTAGAAGAGAAAAATCTACAGAGATAATGAGGTAGTGGTCGCCTGGTATTGGGATCAAGGATGATACAGTGATTGCTGATAAGACTGGGGTTTCTTTGTGGATGGAATGATAGAAATATCCTAGAATCATGTATAACTGATTGCACAAGTTCTTTGATATACTAAAACATTACCAAATACTGCACTTCCAAGGAGTGAACTTACAGCTCATAAATTATAATTCAAATAAAGCAATTAGAAGTCATTACATAAATACTACCACTTGACTGTGTCACCTACCAGAAGGGCTAAGACTAACCAATGTTTTGAAGAACTACTATTCCCTTTAAGGAAGTTTCTTCTTGCAAAAAAAAAAAATGGGCATCAAACAAATCACATGGAGCCCTATGTACAGTTAAAATGGAGAAAGTCTGAAATAAGAGGGCACAGGACAAATATAGAAAACAAATGAAACGGGAAATGTAAGGCTATGGCCAAGAAACAAGATCTTCTGTTTGTCCCTCTGCAAGCGTCCTTCTGAAACATTACGTATTTCTTAAGTAATGTTTTTGTCCTGGAAATATCTTTCAAATCCCTGAAGTTGCACAAGGAAACTTTAATGTCTTTTTTTCTTCCTCCTAGGTGTTACCCCCAAACACAGGCTGCCTTTATATCGACAGAGACTGTTCAGCTACGTACTGCCACGAACCGAGCAGTAACATCTATCACCCTTTCCAGAAGCGTGAGCAGCTGAGAGCCAGCAGGTACATCATGAAGCATACCTCAGAGGTGATCTGTGAGGTCCTGGATCCTGAGGGGAACACCTTTCAGGTAAGGTACAGGGTCCGTGTGGAGAGAGAGCCTGGACTCCTGTCATAGTTAGGGCTTTATAGCTGTGAAGAGACACCAAGGCCATGGCAACTCTTATAGAGGAAAACATTTAATTGGGGCTGGCTTATGGTTCAGAGGGTTAGTCCCTTATTGTCGCAGAAGGAAGCAGGGCAGCACACAGGCAGAAGTGGTGCTGGAGAGGGAGCTGAGAGCTCTACATCTGGATCGGCAGGCAATAGGAAGAGAGGATGAGTCACTGAACCTGGCTTGAGCTTCTGAAACCTCAGAGCCCACCTCCAGTGTCACACTTCCATCAATAAGGCCACACCTACTCCAATAAGACCACACACATCCTAATCCTTTCAAATAACACCATTCCCAATGAGCCTGTAGGGGCCATTTTTTTTCAAACTACCCCAACTTGGTGTTGTGATGTATTGTACTAGACAAATTCCATAACAGTTTTTACATTTGCTGCATTGGGGTCATTTGCTTGCCCTCTGCCAACCAAACATGAACGTCGATATTTTTTTCTTTGATCCTCAAGTATACTTTCGTAGGGAAGAACAGTCTTCATAATGTGGGCAAGAAAAACATTAAAACGAATCAACAATTTGAGAAGTACAGGAAAAAAATTATGCAACCATGTTGAAATAAGAGCAGCGGCAGGGCTGCGTCCCCGGCACCCGGCCGCCAGCATGGCTAGGTTATGCCCCGAAATAATTACACGGAAACTGTATTCTATTAAACACTGCCTGGCCCGGCTAGTTCCAGCTTCTTATTGGCTAGCTCTTACATATTGTTCTAACCCATTTCTAATATTCTATGTAGCCCACGAGCTGGCTTACCAGGGAGGATCTTAACCTGCATCTGTCTGGAGCAGGAGAATCATGGCGACTCCTCGACTAAGCTTCTTTTTCCCAGCATCCTGTTCTGTTTACTCCGCCTACCTAAGGGTTGGCCTATCAAATGGGCCTAGGCAGTTTCTTTATTAATAAGAAATCACTCCCACATCATTTCCCTTTTT